CCTACATCTCTTATTTCTTGTGGTTCTTCTTGATTAAAAACGAGAAACAGATCAACTTGAAGAGAGTCAGAAACGATGGGGAAAGCCTGGGGAAGGAACAAAAGCATAAAGAGAAAAGAGAACACATTTACCAGACCAGTAAAAAGAGCAACAAAGAAAGGGCGAGAACAGTGGCTCTTAAACTCCACCTCGAGGCCCCAAATCAAATTATCAGATCATCAGTGCTACCGCCTGGCGCATATTGAAAAGATCTTCTTCAAAGGGGATTACCTCTGGAAGCCTCTATGGCTTCTTTTAGAGAGAGTGGTCTCCATCCTTGAACTGTCCTTCCACTTACCGTGAAGCTTGGAAGGCATCTTAGAACGAGCCTCGCTTAAAGGGACGCAAAGTCACGATTCCTGCGTATTTACTGCTCAGACCCGGGAGACACTTCTTCACGAGAGCGGGGCGAGCGGCGTCTCCCCGCACAAGTCCGAGGACCTGGGCCTGCCCTGCATTTGAGGGGTGACGCTGGAGAGGTCCTTCCTCCCCATCAGATGGTGATGTCACTTTCCTGGCCTGTCTCAAAGGGATGCCGTGATCCAGTGAGAACATCCCTCACTCCGTAAATCTTTGTGAAGTTAAGAAGGTAGAAATGCTGTGTACGTTGTGAAATGGGGACTGAGTGAAAGACATGGTCACTTTTCAGCAAAGGCCATGAGCATCTCACCCTACAGCTCTCCGAGCTCTCTGAGGGTGACAGCACGCTGAGTCATCAGCGGAGAGGGGAACAGTCGCCTACAAAGTCCTACTGAGGCTTTAGGTACATAGTAGCTGGTTTTTTCTTTTTTTTTTTTTCAACTTTTGTTTTTGTTTTTGTTTTTGGGACAGAGAGAGACAGAGCATGAACGGGGGAAGGGCAGAGAGAGAGGGAGACACAGAATCGGAAACAGGCTCCAGGCTCCGAGCCACCAGCCCAGAGCCCGACGCGGGGCTCGAACTCCCGGACCGCGAGATCGTGACCTGGCTGAAGTCGGACGCTTAACCGACTGTGCCACCCAGGCGCCCCTGGTTTTTTCTTTTTTTAAAAAAAGTAAGCTCTATGCCCAATATGGGGCTTGAACTCACAACCCGAGATCAAAAGTCACGTATGCTGTATTGATTGAGCCAGCCAGGCCATACCTGCTAGTTTTTAATTTTTAATTTATTTTTAACGTGTATCTATTTTTGAAGGAGAGAGAGACAGAGCGTGAGCAGGGGAGGGGCAGAGAGAGACACACACACACACACAGAATCCCAAGCGGGTTCCAGGCTCCGAGCTGTCAGCCCAGAGCCCGACGCAGGGTTGGAACTCACCAACCGCAAGATCATGACCTGAGCCGAAGCTGGATGCTTAACTGACTGAGCCACCCAGGTGCCCCTT